CAGACGCGCTCTATTGCCTGGCGCTCTCGGGCGCGCCCGGTCCGCTGGAGGCCCTCTGTGCCCAGGGTGCCGACGTGGACGCCGCGTGCAGTCTCAATGGTGGCACGGCCCTCCACGCTGCCTGCCTGCGTGGGCGCGTCGAGATCGCTGAGCTGCTCCTCGCGCGCCGGGCCGACCCGGCGCGCACTGCGCAGAGGTGCATCGCTCCGCTGCACCTCGCCTCCAGCCCTGAGGTGGTGGAGCTGCTCCGCCGGCACGGCTGCGACATGCAGCCGAGAGATGCCAACGGCCACACGCCTCTGCACCACGCGGTCGGCATGGGGAAGGCGCGGGTGGTCGCGGCCCTCCTCCGGCTGAGGGCAGAGGTCGATGCTCTGACCAGTGCCGGCGAGACGCCGTTGCAGCTGGCCGCCGCCAGCGCGCACCCAGCCGCCTCCGATGTCACCGGGCTGCTTGTCGCGGCCGGCGCTGCTCGGGGGCTTGGCCATCCAGCGGCGGCGGCGGCCTGAGGCATCGGGCTGGCGTTGTCGCCGCGGGCGCGGCTTCCCGTGGAGCTTCTGAGCCGCGTCCACTGAACAACGAATGCTCCTGCCAGCATAAGCTCTAGACGGGCATCGTATGGGGGCTACCTAAGCAGCTTGTCTGTGAGAGTTCTATACCGTAGCATGTTTCTCCCAGGCCTAGTGATTGGACTGCCGGATCCGGAATGGGGGGGGCGCCCGCTGTCTCGTTGCCTCCTGTGGTTTCCCATCGCCATCCCTATCCCTATCCCGACCCTCGCGGCCCCCCAGTCGTGGCCACCCATCGTGGACCTCCATCGTGACCTCTCATCGTGAACCCCCTCATCGTGCTTTTGCAAAAGCGCCGTAAGGGTGTCGTCAAAGGGTGTCATCAAGGGGCTTTGTGCCGTAAGGTTGTCGTCAAAGAGGAGCCCAATATAAGAACAATCACGCTCCAAATTGGCAGGAGGAAAGTTCAGGGGGGTCGTGCGCACGCATTAAGCAGAAGTGACTGAGAGCCCTCTTGAAGGGCAGCGGATTCCTCCTTCTCCTCTGCCTTTTTGCCGTAAAAACACAAGAAGTGACTGAGAGGGAGCACGGGTGCAGTATCTTGGCTATCATAGCCAAGCTAGAACACATATAAGAACACCATTGGCAAACATAGGGAAGTATAGGCAAATTGGTGCTGATAGTATCAGGGGGGAAAATACACTGACATAATGAGTCGTCGATTCCCAGGAAAATATATAAAAATATGGGAAGTGGGGGGGAAGACAAAAATCCAGCAAATATGGGAACATTTTGGGAACCTTGTTAGTTGTGTGTATTTATGTGTGTGTGTGTCTCAGGGCCCCTTCATAGCATACATAATATCAGTCATAACCGAGCGCCCGCGATAATAAAGCAGACCACTCCGTCTGCGCCCCTGAGTGTTGATTATTACGGGCCAAAACAGAGTTGGTCGGGGGAGAGGGGCGGTGAGGCCAAACTGCGTTATCGCCGGGGAAAGTGCGACTCGAAGGTGCTATCTTATTATGTCGAGTAGCAACAGTTCACGAATGTGTGGCAGGGCTATGGATTCTCAGAGTATTACGGACGTGTGGATGGGCTATGGGGACCGAGAGTCCCGAGGCTATTAGTTTACAGTAGACACATATGTACATGCGAATTCCTAGGCTCCCGAGGAAAACATCCCAGCCCGACCTCTGTTACATACGAGTTGCCTGGACGAGAGGCTTATGATCCCCCCTGGACTTGATTTGTATGAACCCATGGGCGATGTTTATCTGGGGCATAGGGTTAGTAGGTCTTGAGGATGTAGTACTACTATGGCGCAGCAGCTTGTTCTAAACAACGAATGACGCACGTTTTTTTTAATGGCGTGAGCAGGGGCATCATTTGTGGGATTGACGATTTGGTAGGGTGCGAGGTGGTTGGTGCATATGGGTAATTTCAAAAAGGGCCTTGCCTTCGAGGATAGATGGAGTTGACGTCTCTTCCGCGGCGGAAGGTCGGCGGAAGTAAAACGAGGCCGCATCCGCCGGCGGGAGGCGGCGGAAGGTGGCGGAAGTAAAACATCGACCTCCCAAGAGGTGAACACGTTTTTGGGTTCAGGGTTTCTGAAGTCGCCCATATGGAGCAACGGATGGGAGGTAAACGGAGTGTGGATGGCAATTCGTCAGGGTTCGGGGTGCCTGGTGCGACCCATGGCACAACTTATGGCTCAACGTGTGGAAGGCAGACAGAGTGGGCCAATTGAGATTCCGAGCGACGCAGGGTTGTATGGCGCAGCTTGTGGCGCAACCGATGGACCACTGACGGAATACGTGAAACCGCACGTCGTCCTGGCGCCGGGGCCTTCCGTCGCTTATGGCGCAACCCGTAGGAGGATTGCAGACAGAGTTGGGAAAGCGTGTTCCGTTGGTTTGCCGGGACTCGGTGCATGGCCCAACCAGTCGTAGGTAGCATGGCCCGTGGAAACACCCCGATTTGACGGTGTGGCCAGTCGCTTGGCGGAACATGTGCCCGAACAACTGGCACGGTTCTTGAACGCTTCCTCCTCGTCCGCAGCACTCGTTCTGCGTCTCTTTCTCCTCCTTCCTCCCCCTCTTTTTTGCTGTGCGGTGCTGCTCATGCATAGCGCTTGGTCCTGTCATTGCCATCCTCTTCTGGGCTGACCATGAGCCTTCGATCCAGATCCAGATCTAGATCCCCCCAGGGTGGCTTGAGAGGAGGAGGAGGAGGAGGAGGAGGAGGAGGAGGAGGAGCCATTCCGGATCCGTCTTGGTGGCTCTTGGGGGAGGGGCTCCTGGGTCCCTCCGCCCCAGGGCTCCTTTCGATTCCTCCGATTCGATACAATTCGATTTCGGTGGCTTCCGATTCCGATTCGGTTCGACTTCGGATTCCGATTCCCAGACATGACCGCGTCGTGAAAAAAATCAGGACGGGAGGTTTTATCTATTGTCGGCCACGGGGGGCCCTCGCCAGGCCTCGGGAGCGTCAAACAACGACTCGGGACGAAAAACCGGTCCCGGGGAAAGTCCAGGGGCGCCGTCCTGAAACAACGAGGATTTCGCATGTTTGGGTCTGGATTCCGCTTTCTGGGTGGAGCCTTACTGGCCTGCCGATTACTGCCCGTTCGACTCTTCCCCGAGCATGCAGGGCTGCATGCCTCTTGCGGGGATGATGATGCTGCTGCAGATGATGAAGATGATGATGACGATGAAGATGATGCTGCTGATGCTGATGTGATGATGTGTTGATGTGGTGATGATGCTGATGCTGACGCTGATGATGATGATGATGATGATGATGATGATGATGATGATGATGATGATGATGATGATGATGATGATGATGATGCGATGATGCGATGATGTGTTGATGTGATGATGATGTGATGTTATGATGATGGCCATCAGCATCATCCCATCATCACATCACCAACATCATCAACGACATCATCATCATCAACATCAGGCCACTTGTGGAGCGCTCTGGCGATCGGAGGGCCGTCGATCATTCAAGGCTGAACGGTCCGCGTGAGCGACGCAGAAGAACGGGGTCGTCTGCGCCAACATTGGCGCGTAAGCTACCCGCATAAGGTCGCGCGGAAGCGCCCTCGCTTCAAGTGTGGCGCGCCGCGCCGGCGGCCCGCGTTAGCCGCGGCGTAAGGTCGCCACGTAATCTCGCGTAAGTCCGATTCGTTTCGCCGCCCATGTGGTGTCAGAAACCAGCACGCAGGTCGTCACGACGCGAACTCGCCCCGCAGGCACAGTGAATCAAAAAAATCGGCCTGGCAGCATCAAGCAGTGGCGACGCGTCCTGGCTCGCCTATAGCCCCACCAAACAATGTTCCAATAACCTTTTGTGGCTTTCACGAAATGTTCTTGGAACATTTCTAGCGGGGTCTGCCTTGTTTCAACACATCGGGTTTATGTTCTAAGAACATTGCTCTTTGTTCTTAGAAAGTTGTTAGGTTTTAAGAATATAGGCATGCAGGGACGGTCGGACCCTGCTCAACAGCAGGTGCGACACAGACGTCTCAGAGCCTCCGATGGCCCAGGGGGGCAGCTCCCTGGGGCACGTTGTTGTCCTCAGCGGTCGACGAAAGGTGTGCCCCACGAATTCTTGCAGCAGGATGCCTTGTCGCATGTGTCTGCTCACCAGAGAAGACCCAGACATGATCGCGTCGTAAAAAAACAGTCTGGGCGTGAGGTTCTTGGCTATTGTCGGCCCCGGGGGGCCCTCGCCGGGCCTCGCGGGAGCGTCAACAAAACGACTCGGGAGGAAACGCCTGTCCCGGGGAAAGGGTCGGGACGTCCAGGGACGCCGTCCTAGGAATGTGAGGACGTCGCATGTCTGGGGAGAACCACCACCACCAGCCAGGTGGCGTGGCCGCTAACCGCCCCCCCCCCCGAGCTGTTGGCACCCCGTTCCGGGCGCGCCCCCAGAGAGTGCTCGGCACGGAGTGCCGCCAGCTCGGGGAGGCGGCCTTTGGGAGCGGAGTCCTATGGAGCTCTGGTGGTGGTGGCTCCTTCTGCGATCGTGATTTATTGTGCCCCGCCTATCCTGCGCCTCCTGCTCCTTCTCCTGCCCCCCCTGGCGTTCGGGTTATGACTCGGATCTCCAGAGGCCGTTTTGGGACGGTCCAGGCACCCCTGGGACGCTCTCGGCGAGGCGCAGCCGCTGGAGCGAACCTCGCAGACGGAGCACCGACGAGTACCAACCAAGACGCCCGAGTTCTTTGAACTTTCAGGACGAGCCTCCCGAGCCTCCTCTTCAAGCGCCTTTCGGATGGGGCCAGGACAAGCGCGTTCCAGCGCGTTCAGGAACGCTTTCAGAGCGTTTCGGAACGCTCCGAGAAGGCCTCGGCCCCCGAGATCTCCTCCAGAGCCGCCGGATCTCAGTGATTCCCGATCTCCCCTCAGGCGAACCTATCCTCGCTCGGGCTTCGTCTTAGCCCTGTTCCCTCTCGTGGGCGCGGCGGCCTGGCGGCAGGTGCACCCGTGGTTCGGGTGCAGCGACTTCGACTGGCCCGCGGTCGGGGCACGCACCATGGCCGCGCCCTTCGTCCCTGCGGCCCTGCAGGGGCTCCAGGACCGCGGGCGCCGCTGGCGAGGGGGGAGGTCCTCCGGAATACAATCGGCGGCGAGGGAGGGGGGGGAGTTGAGAAGGAGAAGGCCTTCTCAGAAGGCGGCGGGACTTCTCAGAAGCCGTCGCGCCCTGAGCAAGTTTTCTGTGTCTCGGGGGAACTTCTGAGCCTTCTGAGAATGCCTTCTCCTTTGCACTTCCCCTCCTCGCTCGCCGCCGATAAAAGGACCCTTGACCTTACTCACACGATGAAGACGTAGCCTCAATGAGGTTTCAGTCTTTGCATTAGGGATCATATTTCTGGGCGGCTTGGTTTGATGCGTCTCCAGGACAAGAACCCCTATCCCTGATGTTTTTTGGCCGCCAAGCTTAGGTCCCCTCCCAATGGGTTAGGGTCACTGCTATCGCTAATCGGGGAGGGAGGCTACTTGAGCAGGCGGGGGGAAGCGGAGGAGCAGAAGGAGGAGGAGGAGGAGGAGGAATCTGGTCTGCTCGGTCCGGGAATTGGGGAGGGGAGGGGGTCAGCGTGCTGGAAAAGCGGGGCCAGGCCGTGGTGAGCGCAGCGCGGCACCGTTCCCGCGAGCCTCCCACGGGCAGGCTCTGGCCTTAGGGCGCTCGCAGGCCTGTCGGGTCTCTCGGTCGGTCAATGATGTCTTGGCATCGCTCGGACGTGTGCTTTTTTTCTCGGCGGAAACCATCGAGGACCATCCTGGACCATCGAAGGAAAAAACGCGCACGAAGCCGACAAGTACACAGGAAATGGACGTCCGAGCGACGGCAAGATGCTGTCTTGCAGCGCGAGAACCCCATCCGGCTGAACATCCCTTGGAAGCCTCTTGGGCTGGAGCTGGCCAGAGGTCTGCGGTGGCCCAGCACTGGTCCCGGCGAGCAGGAAGGGGGCCAGGCGAGGTCCGAGGTGTCGGGTTCGAAGCGGTGTGTTACTTTGGTTTTCGGCCTCCAGGGGCCGCTTTCGGGCCCCGGGAGCAATTTCAGCCTCTCGGAGCTCTCTTGGGAAGGCTCTTGGGGTTGCCTTGGGCGGTCTTGGGGGCCTCCAGGGCAGTCTTGGGGCCATCTGGGGCGTACGGGTGCCCTCTGGGCCTGTCTTGGAGCATTCTTGGGGCACTCTGCAGCCGTCTGGGCTGTTCCAGGGAGGAACCAGGGCCCACCGTCCTCTCATGCATGGAGGGTCGGGGCAGCTGTTTTCGGGCCGCGGCCCTCTTCAAAAACAGATTTTGGGTGAACAACTGCACCAGACGGACCCAGGTTCACAGATTCTCCTGGGGCCCATTCAGTTCAGACCCCTCGGCCGCGTCCAAGTTGGAATCTGATCCGGCTGATGATCCCGTGGAAGCGTCCTGGGAACCTCTTAGGGGTTTCGCGGGCGCATCTTGGCGTAATAGTTGCCTTCTCGGCCGTCTTGGGAGCCATGGGGAGCACGTTTGCCCTTCGTGGGGGCATGGCATTCTGTGCCGTGTCAGTGGTCTCTTGGAGGTTTCTTAGAGGCCTCTCAGAGACATCCTGCAGGTATGTTCTGCCGTCTTGGAGCCCTCTCGGCAGCGCCCAAATGGGCTTCTTGTTCGTTTGTATTTGGGGCTTCTCGAAGTAGCGGGAGGTATAGTGGTGGACCCCCCTTGATGCCAGACAGAAGCAATTGCATTGTTCTATGTATGTTCTATGTATGATTTGTGCACATCGGCCTTCTCGGCCGCAGAGCCGAACCCTGATGCCTTGCCACCCCGATACCAAGCTACCCGGCGATGTTGCGACTATTGATAGGAGGTTGGCGACAGAAGTAAGCCCTTGCCCTCAGAGGTTCAAGAATCGAAGACGGGGTTTGCTTAGAAGGCAGCTCTAGGCCATCTACCGCCGAGAGGGTAAGTTTGTTTTACAACTTTAGATCCCGAGGGCGGCACGACTGTCTCAGGCCCATCCCATGAAGCCCTCAACAGTTGACCCATGCGCTCCCAAAGAGGTGTACAGGAAACACAACAGCCTCACGGAATGACTGAGAACCCCCATGACGGCGAGGAGAACCAGCGTTGTAACTTTCTGAATGGTTCGCGTATCCCCACCAGCCCATTCAAGACCGATGTTTTGGGAAGCTGCCCTAAGAAGGATAGCGTGGCATCAGTTGGATACCTCGGGGAGCCTCATTGAACTAGAGGCCCCTTCCTCTTAGGGCGTCTTGGGGGCCTCTTGGGCGTTCGTGGGTCTTCCCAGGGGCCTCTCAGGGGCCTTGAGGCCTTCTTGGGCCCTCTTGAGGGCCGTGGGGGTCTTCTGGGAAGCCTGGGAGGGCATCGATCAAATAAAAGGGGCGGCTTTAATTAGAGCCCCCTCGAACCCCAAAAGTCGTCTCCTGGCGCCGCCTTGGGGCGCTCTCGGGGCGCTCCTTGGCGCTCGTGGGGCCGTCTTGTGGCCTTCTTGGGCCATCTTGGAGCCATCTTGAGGCCCTAGAAGGCCATCAGGAGCGAAAACATGAGAAAGCACCAAACATAGAATTCCTTGAAGCTTTGGATGGATGCTGGCCTCCTGGGGGCGTTGTGGGGAAGCTTCGTAGCCACTTTGACCCGTCTTGAAGCGGTCTTGGGGACGTGATGCCGCCTTGGGCTATATGGGGCCCACCTGCAGCCATCTTGGGCTATCTTTGGCCTCCCGACGGTCGCCGCCCCCCCCCCCCCCCGACCCAGGGGGGATCATGTGGGAGGGGGGTCAGCCCCTCCCCGAAGGGCAATATGGGAGTTGGAAGAGCAAGCGCCCTAGACCACCTGCGCCCTGGAGGGCTTGTTCTAATGCACTCTGGCCCTGCGCGGCGTTGCCTCGTCTGGTTGCGTGTGGTCGAATCTGGTCTTGTCGAGCGTAGCGCCGTTGTGCTGCTGTGGTCTTGGCGGATCTGTTTGATGAGAGGCTTGGCTTCTCATGATGGGGCTGCCGCCTGGAGGTTGCGCGTCTTCCTCGGGCCCGAAGCCTGGAGCAATCCACGAGATTTGGCTCAAGACGTCCCCGTTCGACGCCCAGAGACAGCGTCCGCGAGATGCGGACCCTCCGCGCCGCCGCCGCATACCTCCTCTTGGCAGAACCTGCTGCGGCGACCGATGGGGGCGGGGGCGCCGACGCGGGGGCTGCCTCGCCCGCCTGCGACGGCAACTCCTGCACGGTGGGCGACTACCGAGTGCAGGCGCTCTCCCCCGTCCTGCTCCGCGTGGAGCCGAAGGGCCCCAACGGCTTCGAGGACCGGACCACCTTCATGGTGGTGAACCGCGACGGCTTCGAGGGGCCCACGCTGAAGTCAGACGAGAAGGGGCTGATGAAGACGGACCACTACAGCGTCCAGGTCTCAGACGGGGCGATCCGGGTGTGGGACGCCGACGGGAACGACGTCTACGACTCTGAGGCGAACCCTGCCTGGAACAAGCTGCACTGGCCATCGCCCCAGTCGAGTCCCGGCTACGCGATCATGGACTATCCTCGGTTCTTCATGCCCGACTGGAAGTGTGCACCCGTCTCCGAGGAAGACGGCGGCCCGAACAACGGCTACGATTTCAGCAACGACGTCGAGGGCGACACGTACATCTTCTTGCTGGGGAGCGGCCTCGATGGTTGGAGCATTGCACGCAAGGAGTTCCTCAAGCTGACAGGTCCTGTCCCTCTCCTTCCCGACTGGAGCTTCGGCACTTGGTTCACGTGGTGGCACTTCTACACGGAGGACGATGCAAAGTCGGAGGTCCAGCGCTGGATTGACGACAAGGTGCCGCTCGACGTCTGGGGACTGGACATGAACTGGCGCCTGACAGAAGGGGGTGCTGATCTGCAGTACGACCAGCCCAACGGGTCCGCCTTCCCGGACTACGAAGAGTGGTTCCTCCTCCTCTTCCGCCTCTTCCTCCTCGTCCTCCATTCCTTCTCCTTATAGATAACTCCTCCCTGTCGCACCCCTAGGCCAGTTTTTGGGGCGGGCCGGGCGTTTCGCCTGAGACTTCCTCACCATTACTGATTCGGAAGCTTAAAAAGCGACAGCAATTTCGCAGGTGGAGGTTGGCGGGTCGTTTTCCATTTTTGGCTCTCGCCTGGGAGCCGCGCACATTCGCTTGAAACATTTGCCAGAGCTTTACGGATTGAGGGCGGGTCGTGTTCAACATGTGGCTCTCGCCTTAGCGCCGCGCGCATTCTTTTTGAAGATTTGCAAGAGCTTCACGGATTGAAGGCGGGTTGTTTTCCAAATCTGGCTCTCGCTTTTGCGCCGCGCACATTCGTTTTACAACACATACAATAGCTTCGCGAAGTGAGGGCGGGTTGTTTTCCAAATGTGGCTCTCTTTTTAGCGCAGCGCACATTCGTTTTAAACATTTGCACGAGCTTCACGGATTGAGGGCGGGCCCTTTTCAAACTGTGGCTCTCGCCTTAGCGCCGCGCAAATTCTCTTTAAGCAGGTGCAAGAGTTTCACGGATTGAGGGCGGCTCCTTTTCAATGTGTGGCTCTCGCCTTAGCGCCGCGCGCATTTTTTAACATTCGCAAGAGCGCCACGGCTGCCCATGATCAACGTACCAGAAATGGAGTTTGGGAAGGATTCAGGATTATGCGGGTGCAACAATTATGTTGATTCGCTGTGTTGAAGTCCCAACAATGACGCTCTGGCATGATTCCAGACCGTCATTACGCAGCAGTCAGGTTGATACTTGGCGTTGAAATCCCGAGAATCATGTTTTGGCATGCTTCAGGATCTTCAAACGGTTGTCTTCCAACGAGGCAGTTCCCCTAATGGAAATGAGCCGTTGTGGGGGGCCATGAACAGGGAGCTTGAAGGGAGGGTTAATTCCAACACCGTCGATGGCTCTTGGTTTTACACTGGTTCTCCTCCTCCTCCTCCTCCTCCTCGTCCTCCTCCTCCTGGTTCCGCTGGCTGGACGAGCGGGGGATCCACACCTATTTCAACGACCACCCTGGGCAGCAGGCCCCTCAGACGACTCCGGCCGAGATCAACTTCCGTTGGAACGGCTTGACCTCGTGGATGGGCAAGGGGCTCTCGTTCTGGTGGTTTGACCACAACTGGAAGTTCTCGATCCCCCCTCCCAACGCCGAGCCCCCAGCTGTCGGCTCGGGGACTGCAACCTCCGAGTGGGAGGGGCTCACCACTTCTACCTGGGGCTCGCACGTGTTCTACACGATCGCAGAGCAGTACAACAAGAACAACCGTCCAGACGATAAGTTCCATGGCGGGCGCCCCATCATTCTGTCAATGCAGGCTCCGCACAACGAGATCAGCGGTTATAACGTGGACGCGAACCCCCTTGTCGAGGGGGCCATAGCAGAGCCTCTCGATCCAATGTTCATGGCCGAGCACCCTGCACATCACAGATACCCTGTTTGGTGGAACGGTGACTTCGCGACAATGAACAACAATTTGGAAGCGATGGTGGACGGAGGAGTTCACGACCTCAAGCCTTACGTGCATCCAGATTGTGGCGGCGACGGCTGGTTCACCACGGTTGTCGAGCTCCTGCGCCAGACTCAAATGTGCACATTTGGCACAATTCTGCGCTTCCACGGAGGGCCCCACCAGCCGTGGATCTACGGAGACTGGTGGGAGGACAACATCCGTAAGTACATTAAGTGGCGCTACATGTTCATGCCCATGATCATCGCTGGCGGCCAGCGGGCTACCCAGACAGGCTTCCCATTTGTGGCACGGTGCGACCTGTATTGGCCAGAGCACTGGGAGTCCAGCCAATCTAACCACCAGTTCATTTTCCTTGACGACATCCTTGTTGCGCCCATTTTTGATTCCAGTGACAACTATACCGAGAGGGATGTTTGGATTCCGCCAGGTGCTTGGCAGGATGCCTGGACTGGCGATGTGCAATATGGGCCAGCGGACTTGCATGTTGGACAGCCGCAGGACCGCATGCCTATGTGGATCAGGATGGATGGTGGCATGCTTATCTGGACTGACAATCCAGGTCTCACCGTCGCGGACGGAGATTGGTCAACCCTGGTTGTCGAGGTTTGGCCGTGCCCACGGGCTCAGGAGACGACGCGCACCATTTATGAGCGCAGCACCGAAGAGTATCCGCCGAGCCAGGACGTCACATTGTCTACAGATGGTTCTGGCACAGCAACTATCGAGATGACCAAGTCCGATGAAAAGCGTGCCTGGGTGGTTCGTGTGAACTTGCTCGTTGGCCAGACGGTTGCCAGCGCGAGCGTTGACGGAGAGCCGGTAAAAACTCAGACGTACGAGCCCGGGGAAAATGACGATGGCACCTTGTGGCAAGGATATTGGCCGTTCGGAGGCGAGGGAAGTCTCCCTGCGGCGCATGCTGGGAACGTGGTAGAGCTGAAGGTGCCAGCAGGCACCAGCGCACGCAAAGTGGAGGTTGTCATCGGCGAGGGTAAGAAGGAGAGCGAGAAGCCTAAGGCCAAGGCCACGTCGGCACCCAAGCATGGAAAGAAGTCGAAGATGGAGACGAAGCGGGCCGCAGATCAGACGTCCGAGACTCCGCCAGTCATCGGGGCCTCGCAGCTTTCGGTGAAGGCCGCACAGGGGCTGTCCCAGGGCACGGCGGCAACCGCAGCAGCCGGCATCGGCGGTTGCCTGCTTGCCGTGCTTGCGCTCGCCGGCGTCGCTGCGCGCGTGGTGCGCCTGCGCGTCCTGGACGGGCGGGTGCAGGTGCCGGGGGTTCAAAGACGGGGTCCTGAGGGGTGGGGTCCACGCGGTGCCTCGAGCAGTGCAGATGCACCCCTGGGCCCCCTCCTATCCTCGGGACCCCATCCCCCGGGACCCCATGTCTGAGCCGCCGCAGGTGCCCACGCAGTCGCCAGAGACAGCCGTGCCGCTGGTGGAGCAGGGCCGCGCCGAGGAGGCGTGATCGAGCGGCCCCTCCTCGACGGTGGGGCTCGCGGCGCGCCGAGGGAGCAGCCGCGCGGGCTCGAGTTTCGGCTGGGAGCAGCTGCGCCGGGCGCTGCGGTGGGGGCTTTGGTTGAGGAGTATGTGCCCAGGAGCCTTCCGACCCTGGGCCGTTCCTTATCGTCAGAGGAGGAAGGGGCACCCCATACCTCTACCCTTCGCCCGTTTTCCCCTGTTTGAGGCCTCCTGGGCGGCCCCCGTTGCCACCGCTCGATTCGCCTCGGAATCCTGGTCAGAACGCACCCCGTGAGAGGTCCGGGGGGCAGCAGTATCGGTGCCGTGTGGAGTCCCCATATCGGATGAGGGTGGCGGTGACATCCGCGGATTCAGGTCCACAATCGGAGTTCCACTGGTTTCCAGACCCTGGATTCATCATCCAATTGTTCCTCATCCGATGCCCTCACCGCAGGTCAGGAGGCCGAAATTTGTGCTCGTTCGCTCAGCAGGCCGAAATGTGCCGCTGTACGCTTACAAAGTTGGGCGGCGGCCCTTTCTAATTGGCTGGCGAGAGCACGGCGCGACCCGCCGTGGAGCCGCCTTGCCCGAGGAGCTCTTGGGCTCTAGGGTTGAGTCGGGCCTGTCCCTCTACAGGGGGAATATTCAACAATAGTCAAATAATAGTATGGGGATTACTTTAAGAGTATGTTTGGGCATCTTTTTTGCGTATGTTTTGAATATTTTTATTTGTCGTCCAAAAACCCCCTGTAGGGGGACATGCCCGACCTGACTCTAGGGGTGCTCGCCTGCAAATACCTCATCGGCGACTGTGGCCATTCGCCTTTCGTTTGGGGGGCAGAGATCAGCACAGCCAGGAGCTCGGGAGGGCCCCGCGCTGGGGGAGGGGGGTCCTGTGCCGGCCCAGGATGTCGCGCGAATCTCCGACAGTTCCCCTAACAGCTTCCCTGTACGGGCTCTCTCTGTCTCTCTCTCTCTGTCTCTCTTGCTATTTAGATATGTATAAAGGGATAGATCGTCAGAGAAACTAGTATGCGCATTGCCGGATCCAGTGCCTGAAAGGGCTTTCGCTCTCGCTATATATATATATATATGAAAAAAAGGAGAGAGAGAGAGAGAGAGAGAGATCGTCAGAGAAACTGGTATGCGCATTGCCGGATTCAGAATCAGACGGGCGGCGTTGTCTCCGATTGCCCCCCGCGGCATCGCGTTGCCTCCCGTTTTTCTCCCCTGACCTCTCGGTGCCCTCTGTGGCCTGTCATTGCCGTCCCCATCCCTCTTTCTCTATCCCTATCCCTGTCCCTGTTGTGCTTATCCTATATCCCTATCCCCGCCCTAGTCCCTCTAGCATCATGTCCCTAGCTTTATTCCCCTACCCATATCTATCCCTATACCCGCCCCGATCCCCCTATGACGTGGCCCCCAACCGCGCCCCCCCATCGTGATGCCCCCTCGTGGCCCCCCATCGTAACTGTGACAATATGATGAGGGTCTTCTGGCGCAAGGGTGTTATTCATGTTTTTGCAGTTCTTCGTTGCGATCTTTGTGCGCAATCCGATTGTCGGCGTAGCGCTCAGCATCATCTCCTAGGACTCTCGGGCATAGACTCTGGCCAGCGGCCTCAACGAGGCTGACCGGTGGCCGCCCGCTTGGGCGCGGTACATTCTGCAGACCAGGCCGCGAGCGGCACCATTGTTCGCATAAGAAACTGCACAAGCATAAACGTTCGGAGCTCTGGGCGGATCTCTTGGATCTGAGCTGGGGCCCCCCTGGCTGGCGGCGCCTCTGGCGCCGCCCCTGGCCCGCTCCGAGCGCCAGCGAGGGGGGTCCAGCGCCGATCCAAGAAATCCGCGCAGAGCTCTGGACGTTGATGTTGTTGCTGTTATTTTTCTTCCTGTGGCGTCCTAGCAAATTAGGGGTGGCATTGTGCAAAGGTACACGTGCCCGCCTGCATCAGTTCGTCCCGATCCTGGGCATTCTTCGCCCAGGTTCAAAGTTGGCCTTACGGAGTTCAAGGCTTTCGATCAAAGCCGATTCGAAAGAGCTTCGACGGTTGCGACGCAAAATGAAGTCCAACATTCTTGACGCTTCGCGTATCCCCGCCAGAGGTACGTCAGCCAGCTCAGCGCCACCCAGCCTGCAGCTGCCGTCTGAGGTGGCCGGCCTCGTTTCTGTTTTAGCCAAGTAGCCTCGCCCGTGGCCCGCACGTTGCCTTCGCCACATGACCGCTGTCTTCGTGGCCGCTGACCAAAAAAAGTATCCCCGCCAGCCCATCCTGATCTGATAGCATGCCCAGGAAGCTCTCTTCAAGCTATTTCGGCATCCTGAACCATCCTGAAGGCCATCGGTCGAAACATGAGGAGGCTGGACGCTCTTGGGACGCTCCTGGGGGCCTTCGACGCCACCTTGGAGCCCTTCTGGACCCGGGCAGTTTTGAACGATTGTGACGCTATTTTGAAGATGCAGAAACCTTTCAGATACGAAATGACTAGGAAAGCAATCATCAATAATAACCAGAAGGTTTTGAGTAACTCTGGCCTTTTCGAGGCCTCGTTGCCACCTCGAGCCGTCTTCTTGTGGCGATCTTGCGGCATTTTCAGATCGGACATTCAAGACGTTTAAACACGGAATGATTCGGGTTCGGAAGGGGCTCGCTGTCCGCCATTCCGTGGTTGTGCCTCAAGTCCTCCTTATGCACCCGGACTCTTTCGTTGCCAAATGGGGGTTTCTGCCCTCATTTGGCACTCCTAATTGCAGCAGCTCGACTGCAGCATACCAGATTGGATGCAATCGTGGGTGGGTCAGGGGGAGGGACAACGGACTGCTGAGACGCGGCATCAAAGCCGCCCGCCCGCACACCCACTCCTACGGCTGTGCTCCTCCGTAGCCGCTCCTCCGTAGCCTGGCGCGGCGTAATGCTCCTCCTCCTCCTCCTCGGAGGAGGCTCCTCCTCCTCCTCCTCCTCGGAGGAGGAGGAGGAGGAGGGGGAGGGGAGGATGAGGGCAGGGGGAGGAGGAGGAGGAGGAGGAGGAGGAGGAGAGGAGGAGGAGGAGAGGAGGAGGAGAGGAGGAGAGGAGGAGGAGGAGGAGGAGGAGGAGGAGGAGGAGGAGGAGGAGGAGGAGGAGGAGGAGGAGGAGGAGGAGGAGGAGGAGGAGGAGGAGGAGGAGGAGGAGGAGGGGGAGGAGGGGGAGGAGGAGGAGCGAGCTGCTAGCAGAAGCCACGCCAGCGCGTGGAAGCTCCTCGCGCAGAGCCTGGATTTTCCAGCAGACGGGCCGCGCCAGGCGGGCGGACCCTCACTGGCGGGCCCGGCGGGCCCTGGCGTGCGAGGCGGGCGGGCGGACCCTGCCGGGCGGCACCAGCGGGTGGGTCGGTCGGGAGCCTCGAGACGGGGGTCGACGCAAACGGAGGTCAGCCAGAGCGCCCGATCTTGCAGGATCCTGCAGGACCAGGGTCGCATGGACCCGGATTTGGGTGCGGGATCCTGCAGGATCCTTCGCGCGTTGACCCGGGCTTAAGTGCAGGGTCTTTGCAGGATTCTGCAAGGCCTGACTGGCCCGGCGCTGGATTGACCCGGGTCAGAAGATCCCCGAGGTCGGGCTGGGGAGGGGGGGCGTTGCAGCGCCACATCCGTTGTGTCGGACATCCGCGCTTGTGGCCCTGTCGCATGTCAGCGCCGCTTCCATGTTGTTTTTACGTGGCGAGCGGGGTCTCGGTGGTCGGCCTTGCGATTCGTGAGATCGCGCGGTGCGCGCCGTTCGTGGCAGGCGAAACGGCGACTCTGTCTGGATAGCGAGTCAGACGAGGTCAAGATATCGATACGTCAGCTTCGCGTCGTGTCGACCGGCGGCGACCCCGGCGCTAAACATCGAACGCCGCCGGCGACCCGCGATTGGTCGATGTTGAACGATTTGACATTTCGGAAGCGGCCAGTCGTTCAAGGTTGAACGACCCCCGTGGTGTCAGGAACCAATGCCGACACGAACAAGCCGTACCGCTGCTCGTCCTGGAGAGCCCTCGTCGCCATGGTCAGAGTCTCTTTGAAATGATGGTCAGAGCGCGCCCCGAGAGAGCCCCGGGGTGTAGCGGTCGCGGTCTCAATATTTGTTTCCTGTTGCTCCCCACGAAGGGCACGATAGACAGCGAGCAGGTTTCTCTGAATCAGAAAATGTGTTGATTGCTTGACAGGGTGGTTCGTTTAGAGCACCGACCATTTTCTTATCTGTATGTAGCACCCCGCAGTCGCGGATAAGAGTGAGGGCGCGAGGCGGTTCGGGGAAGGGTCGCGGGAGGGTCGCGGGGTGGGTTGCGGGTGGGGTGTCGCGGCTGGGTCGCGGGGTGAGTTGCGGGCGAGTCGCGGGGGTGTCGCGGACGGGGACAACGACAAACAACAACAAACAACAAGAACAAACAACACAAACCAATCCACCTGGGCCACGCGATCCCATTTCATCCACGCACCCAGTGACAAGGATTGACCACTTCACCCCCCTGACTTTGACATGTATACATGTACAGATTCACATATGTATGGGTGTAGCAAGCGTGCGCGCGAGTAGGGGAGCCGGCATAGTTTTACCAAACATGTGTTTGACATATCCGACACGTCATGCGTAAACACATCGAATGTGCCCTTGACAGCTTGTCGAATGTGCCCTTGGCAGCTTGTCTGTAAGGGTTGTGTCTAACTCTTCGAACGCTTGGTGAGGGATGCCGGGCATCCAGAAGCGGTGGGCCGTCGTGGCCCCCCCCCCATCGCGCAAGGTGTAAAGTTGGTCTCTTCTGCGGTGACATGCATGTTCCAACGATTTGAAGAAGAAAAACGCATACATATGAACTGTCGACGCTCCCGCGGATTTCTTGGATCTGCGCTGGGGCCCCCTGGCGACGCCACCGGCGCCGCCCCTGGCGCGCTCCGCGCGCCAGGGAGGGTGGCCCAGCGCAAAACCAAGACATCCGCGCGGACCGTCGAAAGTTTATGTTTACGTGCTTGTTTCTTCGAATGATATT